GTAGCCTGAAACGTCTCCTATTATATACAGATTTTTTAAAAATAGATTTTCTTTTCAAGCCCATACATTGTAATTGGCATCGCATCTTATGAACGTGTGGAATCGGTGGTTAAACAAAACTGCCTTATTGCAAAACAATAATATGAAAGACGACGTTTCAAGCAATGGCCCTTCTTCACAGCACGTAAAAATTACACCGCTTGGTACCACTCATCGGCAAGTCCACTCAGCTCCACATTCTCCCGTACCGCATCAGCTCCATCTCTTCACCAGCCCGTGTCGTGCTCGTTTAGCCCCCTCTATCCGGCCAAACAGAAGCTGTTCGGGCGTCCGGTGGCTGGGCATTCGGGCTACACGACCCGGCCAACAAAGCCTCGCCTGCCGGAGGAACTCACCGATGGGACTGCGTCCAGATCTTTCGAGGATTTGTGAACTGCTCACGCAATTCAGCCTTGCTTTTACCCAGAATGAATCGTGGGCAGTCCCAGCCTGACAGTATCGCAGATGTCTCACGGTTTCGCAACCACGGAGAAGGGAGGGCATTACTGTGGCCGAGAAGACCCGAAGCTTTCGCTTGGAGCGACATGCCGGGTAGCTTCCACGCGGCGTTACGCGGTCGATGAAAAGATAATACCGCTAGACTGATTCAGAGTGAGACCTCCGCTGCTCATAAGCACACTGCCCAGGTAGGGAAACTTCTCCACTCTCTGCACAACTATCGCATCAAAGATCTATTGTTTGTTAAGTTTGTTGTCCCGACCCCGCACCTCCGAATCGCACGGTTGGCTACGTACGGTGCGAAATAAGTTCAACACACTTACATACGTATATATACAGTATATACATTCACACATACGCAGATACACATACACGCATATACAAAGACAAAGATCCCCCCGATAGTCTTAAGAGACGGTTGGGGCAAGTGCTGTTAGCGAGCAGTTAGCGAACACCTATGAAGGTGTTGGGTGGCCAGCACCACGCCCGGCCGCCTTTGTCTCCCCAGTGGTAATATTTACACACGCCAGGTACTCATTTGATGCCGAGTCGACCTAGGAAAGGCACAGGACCGGCTCAGATAATGGTCACTGGTGTTGACCATTAGCGGGAATCGAACCGCTGCACCACCGCTTCCCACGCTTACACACACACACATCGACACGCATAAACGTGCATACACACACCGCCAGTCAAACACACTCATACTCACAGTCGCAAACATCAGTCTCACACGCACATAAACACACGCACCTCCGAATACCACGGTTGGTCACGCACGGTGCGAAAAAAGTTCAACATCGTACAAAGACACAAACAAAGGCAAAGATCCCCCGTATAGTCTTAACAGATTGTTGGGGCAAGTGCTGTTAGCGAGCACCTGTGAAGATCGGTACGGTACGGAGACAAAGAAACGCACACACACACACAGTCCAACGCACGGACATACATTCACACTCGCTCCTCTCTCTCACACACACACACACTCCAACTCTCACACGTACAAAGTGACACACTCGCTCACTCACTCGCTCGCTCGCCGCGTGTTGAGCCCTGCATCACGCATGTCCGTCACGTGTCGCGATGCACGCACAACACGGCTCGCGAACATGCGGGATTAGTGGTGGTGGTGGTGGTTGATGTAGCAGCTCACGCACGCATAGCTCACAGTCGCCCGCCCTGTCGCGTCGTTCATAGGTGACCTCCCGTGCCCCACAACAACCCACATCCACCTCCACCATCAAACCATCGCACTCGTCACCAACCACCCCACCCTCCTTCTCTCTCGAGCCTCCCCCACACACCGCACACCCTGCCCCTAACTCCCCCCTTCCCCTCCTCTTACACCCTCCAACCACATCCCCCCCCTCCCCAACACACACACATCACCCATCCCCCCTATCATCATCCACCACCGATCACCGGAATCTCTCACTCCGGCACCCCCCACCCCTCAACCACGTCCTAGGCATCACCAAAATCTGTCGACACAAAGACAAAGATCGCCCAGTCGAGACTGAGTCGTCCGCTATGGAGGGCCCAGGGCACCGGATCAGACAACTCGTCACTGGGGTTGTTGGCCGCGAACGGGACTCGAACTCAGGTGGCCGGATTCCGGAGCTCGGCACGCTTCCTCACCGTCCAACCACATCGAAACATAAATTCACACAGCCACCCCGATCATCCACCGCCTATCACCCCAATGTTTCACTCTGGTTCCCCCAAACCCATCCTACGAATCACCAAATGCGTACTCAATCACTCACTCACTCACCCACTCACTCACTCAATCACTCACTCACTCAATCACCCACTCACTCACTCACCCACTCACTCACCCACTCACTCACCCACTCACTCACCCACTCACCCACTCACTCAATCACCCACTCACTCACTCACCCACTCACTCAATCACCCACTCACTCACCCACTCACTCACTCAATCACCCACTCACCCACTCATTCACTCAATCACCCACTCACTCACCCACTCACTCACTCAATCATCCACTCACTCACTCAACCACTCACTCACCCACCCACTTACTCAACCACTCACTCACCTACTCACTCACCCACTCACCTACTCACTCACCCACTCACTCACTCACTCACCCACTAACTCACTCACCAACTCACTCACTCACCCACTCACTCACCCACTCACTCACCCACTTACTCACTCACTCACCCACTCACTCACCCACTCACCCACTCACTCACTCACCCACTTACTCACTCACCCACTCACTCACCCACTCACCCACTCACCCACTCACTCACTCACCCACTCACTAACTCACCCACCCACTCACTCACCCACTCACCCACCCACTCACTCACCCACTCGCTCACCCACTCACTCACTAACCCACTTACACGCCACCAAAGACAAAGACCTCCCCCACCCCTCGTATAGCCTTAACGGACTTTTGGGGTGCAAGTGCTGTTAGTGAGTAGCAGCACCCATTAAGGCCACCACGGCACGCGAGCGGGTTTGGGTGGCCAGCAACCTCGCCCGGCCGCCTTTGTCTTCCTCGTGGCGAAGTTCACGCACCGCACCAGGTACTCATTTGACTACACAACACCACCACCACTTTCGTGAACACAGAGACACGTTACTCCAACCACCCAGCCACCACCACCACCATTTTCGTGTACACAGAGACACGTGACCCTAACCACCCAGCCACCACCACCACTTTCGTTAACACTGAGACACGTTACCCCAACCACCCAGTCACCACCACCACCATTTTCGTGAACACAGAGACACGTGACCCTAACCACCCAGCCACCACCACCACTTTCGTGAACACAGAGACACGTTACCCCAAGCACCCAGCCACCACTACCACCACTTTCGTGAACACAGAGACACGTTACCCCCACCACCCAGCCACCACCACTTTCGTGAACAAAGACACGTTACCCCCACCACCCAGCCACCACTACCACCACTTTCGTGAACACAGAGACACGTTACCCCAACCACTCAGCCACCACCACTTTCGTGAACAAAGACACGTTACCAAAACCACCCAGCCACCACCACAACCACCACCACCTTCATTCATATACTGCCATGGGTCACGCAGTTCTTACGACCTTGCTCAATACAAGCAGTGAAATAACTCTCTACCATACTCTTTGGTTCTTTCGGTAAAGTCACGTAGGTAGAAAAATACAATAAAAAGTAATATATCACGACTTTTCGATCGCAACACAAGCGGTCGTCCTCAGGCGGAAAAAAATAATCCAGTAGTGGAACTGCTGAACCAGGAAGAACACGAAACGTCGTGATATATTTTTTTTATTATTATTATTTTTTTTCCTACGTGACTTTACCGAAATAACCAAAGAGTATAGATTTCTGCAGCCACGAAAGCTTCAAATGAACTATCTATAAGTTACAACTTTAAGAGTGCTGCATGTTGCTGAGCATTTGGCGTTTTAGGGATTTCGGATTTGTCCTCCACTTGAGCAACCGTGATTGGTAAAAAAGAAAAAAGACGCGTTAACTCCCAACACACCATCACTACCACCACGGTTCACACACACATCATCCACCCAGCCCATCCACCCAACCGCGTGTTCCCTAAAACGCAGTGATTCACTCACTATTCAACAGCGCCCTCCCAACTCCGACGCATCAGTGGAACTAAACTAGACAAAGATCCCCCGTATAGCCTGTCACGAACTTCTTGGAAGCAAGGGCTGTCGGGGAGTAGTGGCGAAGCAAGCGAGGGGGTGGGGTGACCAGCACCACGGAACCTCGACCGACGATTTTCATTTTTTTTGCACACCGCCGCGCAGGGCATTAATTTTAGGCTGAGTCGACCTAGGGGAGGCGCGGGACCGGTTTCAGATAATCGTCATCGCCGCTGTTGGTGGCCGTGAGCGGGAATCGAACTCGTGTCGCAAGGTTCGTAGCGCAGCGCGCTAACCGCTACACTACCGCTCCCCGCACACACACACACACACACGCGCGCGTGCAGACGCAACCACTCACGACATCTACTTGTAAGCTGTTATATTATTATGATGATTACAAACTCCAGAGTCTAGAAGTTCCTCCCATCCACCCCTCTGCCCTCTCAACTCTAAACTCCACACTCGCCCAAGTCACTCACTCCATCCCCTGCACCGCCTCCTGATCCTTACCCCCTCCTCCTCTCGCCTTGATCACAACCTCGCCCCCCACCCACCCACCCCGCCTCTCAACCAAAACCAAAGCGCCCTCTGCTCCCACCCAACACCGCTGCCCCCTCCCTCTTCTCATCCCCCCCCCCCCCCCCCCGAATTGCAAAGCAACAACGCAAAAAAGAACGCCAGCGCGCGCGAGAGAGCGCGAGAGAGAGAGAGAGGAGGAGAGTGTGGCGCTTAGCGCGGGTGCGTTGAAGGTTTGAGCTTGTGTTAGCAACGGTGGTGGTGCTGTGTGGTTTTTTTTTCCGAGGTGGAGGAGAGGGGGGTGGAGGAGGAAAACGTGGTGGTGGTGGAGGGGGGGGGGCATAGGAGAGAAAGAGATAGAGAGAGAGAGAGGCACACACAGAGAGAGAGAGACACGCGAATATTCATTGAGTACTGCACACGCCGTAAGGGTAAGGCATTGCTTTTTGCTCCTTATTGATTCGGCAATCATAACAATTGTCTAATCACCGCTGTCCATACATTGCCAGTCGCCACTATTTATTCATAGTTAGCAGTGTTCGCCCTTGAATAATAATATAACGCTCAGAGAACGGAGCGGACGAAACGACATCCACGAAAAGAGAACATCAGCAGCATCATCAGCATCATCATCAGCAGCAGCATCATCATCAGCGGCAACTCTTTTTTTTTAAACACCCCAGCCAGCAATGTCCTTTTCTCAAATAACGTGTCAATACATTCCGGTAGGATCATCGGTCTCGGCACAAACTGGTGGAGCTTTGTTCGTTGATCGACTGTCATCCCAAAACGCGGCATCATCAATCTCATCATCAGCAGCAGCAGCGGCGGCGGCCGCGGCATCAGCAGCAGTAGCTTCTTCATCATCATCAGCAGCAGCAGCAGCGGCGGCGACGTCGTCGTCATCATCATCCGCAGCAGCGGCAGCAGCGGCGGCGGCGTCTGCGGTGTCATCATCCCAGCAGGCAGGAGGATCGCAGTGCCGGGAGTTTCAAATGAATTCATCAGCAGCTGCCGCGGCCGTGCTGGGGCTGTACGGCTCTCCGTACGCGGCGCAGGCGTACGGCGCCTTCCTGCCGTACACGGCGGCCGAACTCAGCGTCTTCTCGCAGTTGGTGAGTTGCACGAGTGAGCGAGTTAGAGCTGCGCGTCTGTCAGCCTGAGTCTGTGCGTGTCTGTGTGTGTGTGTGTGTCGATGCGTGTCTGTGTGTGTGTCGATGCGTGTCTGTGTGTGTGTCTATGCGTGTCTGTGTGTGTGTCTATGCGTGTCTGTGTGTGTGTGTGTCTATGCGTGTCTGTGTGTGTGTCTATGCGTGTCAGTGCGTCACCGTGGTAGTGTCGTGGTTAGCCGCACTGCGCCACGAACCCGGCGACTCGAGTTCGATTCCCGCTCACGGCGACTATCAGCGACGAATACCTGGACCGCTCCTGGGCCTGCCCTAGGTCGACCCAGCCTCGAAATGAGCAACCGGGTGCGATGTGTAAGCATCGCCACTCGGAAGACAAAGGCGGGCGGGCGGGCGTGGTGTTGGCCACCCCACCCCTTCGTGTCCCCTGCCGGCCTTCATAGGTGCTCGCTAACAGCACTTGCCCCAACAGTCTGTTCAGGCTATACGGAGGATCTTTGTCTTTGTGTGTCCGCGTGCGGATGTGCGGAGCGTTGGTGTCGTGGTGAGCGCGCTGCGCTACGGACCCGGCCTCTCCGAGTGCAATTTCCGCTCACGGAGCCAACACGGGCAGGCGACAACTCTCTGAACCATGTCCAGAACCTCGACTTAACCTCAAATGAGTACCTCGTTGCGGTCTGTGAAACATCGCCAACGGGGAGACAAAGGCGGCCCGGCGTGGTGCTGGCTACTCACCGCCTCGTGTGTCACAGACGGCGGCCTTCATAGGCGCTGCTCGCTAACAGCACTTCCCCCCCCCCCCAAGACTCTGCTAAGGCTACACGGGGGACCTTTGGATGATGTAAGAGTGGAGGGAGGCGAAAAATATTCGAACCGGTCCTGGGGCCCTCCCGCCCTTCCCCTAGGACGGCTCGGCCGTCAACGAGCACCACCGGTGCGGTGCGTCTAAGCATCGGCACTTGGGGAGACAAAGGCGGCCGAGCGTGGTGTTGGACAAGACCACACCCGCTCGTGTATTCGTAGGCGCTCGCTAGCAGCAACTTGCCCCAAACGGTCAGTTAAGGGCCATTACGGGGCAACTTTATCTCTTTGTCTGTGTGTAGCTTCGTGCTGCGTTTCGAACCCCACGCGACACGAGTTCGACTCCCGCTCGCGGCCAACGGCAGTCAAGTTACGAATTAAGCCGAAGCGGTCCGACTAGGGCGACTAAATATGTTCCTCTGGCAGAGCGCGCGTTCGGGAGACAAAGGCGGTCGGGCGTGGTGCTGGCCGCAACACCCCGCCGTGCCAGCCCCAATTGGTGCTCGCTAACAGCACTAAGGCGGGGTATTTGTCTTGGTTTGTGTAGTGCATGGGTGATATATGTACATGTGTGTGTGTAGTGCTATACAGACGTGTATATACAAAGACACAGACACACATACACACACATCTACGTGTGTGTGGTACATACACGTAATCTATACAGCTGTGTGTGCGTTGTGGGTAAAACGCATTCATATATATGTGTGTGTGTGTATTATTTTGTGTTTGTGCATACGTGGTGTTCGCTAGCAGCACTTGCCCCAACAGTCTGTTAAGGCTACACGGAGGATCTTTGTCTTTGCGTATGTGTGGTGTGTACAGTGTTGTACATTTACATTAACTCAGTGCACGCGTGTCCCATGTTAACATTACGTGCAATATATGTCCTACCTCTAATAATACAAAAACTACTATACGTAAAAACACGTACAAACTACTAACTATATACATATTCTATATCAGGAACTTGCGCAAAAGTTTACGAAAGTTAATTAACTGACTACATATATACTATACACAAACATCCACTAAAAAATATACTCTGTTCACGTATTACATTGGCAATTTATACACGCATCTACTAAATATAAATATGTATAAACAATACGTGTATTACGTAGAGCAGTTGTGCATTCTTATATGAAATGTTTCACGTATTTGTCGAATTGCACAATATACTATCTTGCTGCATACGCATATACGGTACTTAATAAATGTGCATGCATACACCTCCACGTGCAGCGACTAACTCGACGATTACACGTAAACAAACATGAAGTTTAAATTATACCACACGGACACACACGTTTTGATGGTACCGCTCAAGACTCAAAGTTTGATCTGGTCAACATTAGGCACGCCGCTTTTATTAATTCGCCCGTTAATTAACAAAAAAGTGACGCAAACTCTGCAAAGTGCAAATAAACTGATCACTCGGCATGTGCGTGGTTGTGCACACAGAGTCACAGTGTACGGCGGCATAGACGCAGGGAAGAAGATGAGATCTTGAGTGAGTATGTGAGTGAGTAGGTAGGTGAGTGAGTAGGTAGGTGAGTGAGTGGGTAAGTGAGTAGGTGAGTGAGTGGGTAGATGAGTAGGTGAGTGAGTGGGTAGGTGAGTATGTGAGTGAGTGGGTAGGTGAGTATGTAGGTGAGTGAGTGCGTTGGTGAGTAAGTAGGTGAGTGAGTAGGTGAGTATGTGAGTGAGTGGGTAGGTGAGTAAGTAGGTGAGTGAGTGGGTAGGTGAGTATGTGAGTGAGTGGGTAGGTGAGTAAGTAGGTGAGTGAGTGGGTAGGTGAGTAAGTAGGTGCGTGAGTGGGTAGGTGAGCGACGAGGTGAATGAGTGAGTCGGTGAGTGAGCGGGTAGGTGAGTATGTGAGTAGCAAGGTGCCACTCTATACACACAGAGCGATAGTACAGTAACGGAATGCGTAAATTCGATAAACAAAGTTTAACGAAATCTTTCACCATTATTTTACACAGTAAGCTAAAAAAAAGAAAGTAAAATAATTAATAAATACACTGACATTTATGAATAATACATTCGTCTATTTACAGGACGATATAAATTAATATAAAACTTATTATTTTCTCTACGTTTCTTTTATTTACGTAAGTTTTTTTTTTTAATGTTACATTAAAACTACGCGGTATGAAATATGACGTCATTTTCAGGAGAAAATTGTCTTTGTTGACGTAGCGAATGTCGCGCGTCACGATGCGTGTCTAGGATCGCGCGATAACTTACGAAGGCTGGGAACGCATCCGCGCAGCACGCGTGTTATAAGTTGTTCACCGTACGAAGTTTCGATATACGTGCGAACGAAGGCTGGGGAAACGCACTGGCGTGTGAACACCATGTAGTAAATATGAACGGAGTGGAACCAGACTGTAACTGGACGTGTGTGGGGAAAAAAAATTGCTTCATGGCTTTTCGGATTCTGATTGTGACGTTCTGACAACAAAGCAAGGGAATGACGTGATCCCAGCGAAGTGAGACTTCACTCTCCACTGTAACCGTACTGAGTTGCCACCCGAGTACACACAGACAAAGATGCCCCGTGTAGCCTTCATAGAGTTTTGGGGCAAGTGCTGTTAGCGAGCATCTATTAAGGCCAGTGTATGCTCACACACACACACACACTCGCTCACGTAGACTTTTTTTTCGAAATGTCAAGTTAAATTCTACGTGAATGTCCTTGTACACCCATGAACACAATACAAATACACACGTTACACTAAAAACACACAAAAACCTATTACGCACCAATAAACTATTTTTATAATGAATATATTGTTTTAAAAGTGACATAACTGCTATATAAAACCAAATTGACGTGTGTCGTTCACTTACGGGCAGATCGCGCGATGTTGAATTATTTAACGCTCAGTAAAATAAAAAATATATACATACACACACAGAGACGGCGATCCATTTACAGATACCTCCGCAGATACGATCGGGAGATATTGTGTTCTTGCAAGAGCGTCAAACTGCACTCATTTCCCTAGCCACGGCACGTCTCACGCCAGCCTCGAGCTCACTCGCTGGACAACTTTAGCGCCCTCCGCTCTGCAAAGAGACGCGAGACCATCGCCGCCTTCCCTCGACGACGTTCACTCCGCTCCGAGGAGACGAACCAAAAGATGCGGCAATGTCCATCGGTGGTGGTGGTGGTGCGGGGGTATCTGTAAATGGATCGGCCTGTCCCAGTTTGATTGAATCGTTGAACATGTAGCAGCAGGCTTTCGCGACCAATATCATCCATAATAGAGGGATTTTTTGGGGGGTTAGGTCTCATAAATGTATAAATGTGTCGTTGAAACCCGCCACCACCCGACACAGCCAACTGGACTTCTCCACAAATCTGGCTGTCGCCTGATGAAGCTAGTTGTAATTACTGGCGAAACGTCGTACTCAGATTGTAAATGTTGTGGCTTGGCTCTCCAACACTACCGATGTGCTGTGCTAGTGACGAATTGGCCACGTTCTGTTTACGTGACAACCCTTACTAGCTGGCTGTGTCGGGTGGTGGCGGGTTTTAACGACACATTTATATATTTAGGCGATCTAACCTCTACTATGGACGATTGAATCGTCATCGCGGCAACGGCGGATACGGTTGCGAAAATACGCACGTCGTTTGGAGGGGAAATCGCATTTCTTCCGAGATAGCCAATTCACCACTAAGCTGGGTCTTCGCCCGAAACGTCACACCGCTGTACGTACCCACGTACGGAGCTGATGTGAAGGCGCTGCTAGATTTAGAGGGTGGACGAATTGACCATACTTCACCACGCTGCGGGGAGCTTAGACACGGGAGCATAGAAGACAGTACAACGAAAAATTCGGCCCGTACGGTCGCCTATGAAGGCAAATTGGTGTATATCTATGCGCCAGGAGGGTTAGTAGTGCCCTTGGTGAGTTGGTGAGTGAGGAGGCGAGTTAGTGAGTGAGTAGGTGAGTGAGTGAGTGGGCGAGTAGGTGAATGAGTAGGTGAGTGAGGTGATTGAATAAGTGAGTGAGTGAGTAGGTGAGTGAGGAGGTTAGTGAAATAAGTGGGTGAGTGGGTTGGTTGAGTAGGTGAGTGAGTATGTGAACGAGTGAGTAGGTGGGTGAGGTGATTGAGTAAGTGAGTGAGTGGGTGAGTGAGTAGGTGAGTGAGGAGGTGAGTGAGCGGGTGA